GAATGTACTTTCAACGCCTTAACAATTAAGGCGTAGTTACATGGACACAGTCCTAAAATTATTTCGGCCCTTTGAAGGCAACCTCGAGGCTGATGTGGCCCCCCCAGTGACAACGAGTCTGACACCCCTGCCTTAGAGGCATACGGCTCTATTCTATTTACATCTACTGTGGGACCTTGGGTTGGAGTGCGTAAATATCCTATTAGATGCCGGGCACCAGTGCCAGGCAGTGCCAGGCACGGTTCATTCATTGCCTCAGTCAAGCCCCCTGTCTGTGAGCTGGGTACCGTTCACAAGTAAACTAATTACCGTGTGGATATAATGCATCACAACCTAAAGATTCTCTAGAGTACTTCACACCCCGTGTCTGGCCCGGTCCTGGCACAAAGGAGGTCTTCAATAAATATCTACAGAATGAATGATGCCACGTATTGACTATCCAGTGGATTTTTTTAAACTAATAGTTTAAAGGCTCTTTTTCTCTTAATGTAACGAAATTTTCATAAACATAAAGAATACTTTAGCCCTGGCTGGCGTAGCTCAGTGGATTGAGCGCGGGCTGCAAACCAAAGCATCGCAGGTTCGATTCCCAGTCAGGGCACATGCCTGGGCTGCAGGCCACGGCCCCCAGCAACTGCACATTGATGTTTCTTTCTCTCTCTCTTTCTCCCTCCCTTCCCTTTCTAAAAATAAATAAATAAAATCTTTAAAAAATATATTTAAAAAAAGAATATTTTATTATTTGACCATCTTTAGACCTACGTATTTAAATCTTTCAAGGGAATTTTCACATTTTACTAGGTATAAAAACACATTGACTTTTTGTTGCATAGATTAGTACTGTTTCTCTAAAAGCACAATGTATTGCCTTTCAATACATTTAAAAGTTCTAACCCTTTTCTTTAAGAAAATATTCTTCATCTCGTCCATCTAACATTTTGACTTTTTTATGTTAATGAAAATTTCCCTTAGTCCTTTCATCCTTAAGAAAACAAACAAGCCCTGGCTGGCATAGCTCAGTGGATTGAGCGCGGGCTGCGAACCAAAGTGTCGCAGGTTCGATTCCCAGTCAGGGCACATGCCTGGGTTGCAGGCCACAGCCCCCAGCGACTGCACATTGATGTTTCTCTCTCTCTCTATCTCCCTCCCTTCCCTCTCTAAAAATAAATAAATCTTAAAAAAAAAAAGAAAACAAACAAACCTTTTCTGCTTCCATTAGGCTACGGAGTAAATACCTAGAGCTTTAAGATATCCAGCCACTGAAAAATCTTTGCTTCTTCAGTGAAAGGAGACCCAGAGCATTTGCCTCAAGACACAACTGAGCGCGTCATTTGGGTTTTATTATTAGTTTGGACACGAAGACTTCCACTCAGTTTCCTAAAGATGGGACAGCAGAGTACAGACCCACAATCCTTTGCTGAACATCTTTGAATGGTTCAAATGTTTCCATCTTAACTGCCCGCCACCGTCTTCCCTTAACCCTGTGCGCCCCCGTTAAAGACCACCCGGACCTCCCCCCACCCCGGGCCAAGCTGGCAGGAAGAGCAGTCCGCTCCTGCCCTCGCCACTCTCCCCCTCATCAGCCCTTCCTTGCACTGCTGTTTTATGGAAAGGTGCTCCATCCTGAAGAGGTGATTTGCAGTATCTGTGGGATACTTAGGGAGGTTCTGCACAGGTATGGATCTCAGAAGGCAGGTTTGGTCTGGAGCTGGAGATTCTTAAAAACCTATCAGTGATTTTTTTAAAAAGTAATGCATGCATATGGGAGAGGAAACACTGACTAATCCCCCAATTCCCTCCCGAGACCATGTGGAGTATCTTCCCAAGCGCAGCCAGCCTCATCGACACGGGAACTATGCTGCTACAGAGGGACCTGTGCCCAGGCTCCGTTTGCTGTTCTGCCGTTGCCATCATGAAATTTTTAATTTTGAATAAAGCACCCCGTGTGTCATTTTGCACTGGGCCCCCCAAATTATGCAGTAGGTCCTATTTCCAGCTTTAGTTCATGCATCCCGAAACACGTAATATACACACGGGCCCTTCCTCCCACTCTCTTTTCTTTTAGCGTTTTGGTGATTCTTAAAAGAACATGTGTGGATGAAACTTTCCAGGGAGAAGATGCAAAAGTCGTCAGTGCTGCTCACCAAACAATTCTGCTTCTGTTTCTACGTGGGAGGCAGGTTGGTAGGCTTGCATTTCTTGGCTGCCTGGTGGTTCCGTGGGGCCAGGCAACTAGTTTTGCCCAATGGATGAGAGGCAGAAGGGAGTGCATTATTTCTAGCTCCAAGCATCTCCATGCTGCCGTAAGACCTGAGAGGGTTCTCATTCCGGAGCTCGAGACAGTGGCTGTTCCATGGTCTTGACCTCTGCGTGACTTGGACAAGCAGAGCCTCCCGGGTGACTTATGACGGACATTCAGTGTTGATGAAAAATAAGCTGAAGCCCTGGCTGGAGTAGCTCAGTGGATTGAGCACGGGCTGCGAACCAAAGCATCGCAGGTTCGATTCCCAGTCAGGGCACATGCCTGGGTTGCAGGCCACGGCCCCCAGCAACTGCACATTGATGTTTCTTTCTCTCTCTCTTTCTCCCTCCCTTCCCTGTCTAAAAATAAATAAATAAAAATTTTAAAAATATATATAGATATATAATGGTTCATTTTAAAAAATAGACTTTAAGAAAAGAAAAAGAAAAATAAGCTGATGTTGTTTTTATGCCCTGAGATTTCTGGAACTGTTTGTTATTGCAGCGCAACCTGTCCAGTCCTGACTGACTGAAATATAAAAGAGGTTGAGACAGAATTCACTAGAATGGACATTTAAGGGGAGGAGAGAGCCACAGAAAGACAGGACAGAGAGTCATAAAGGTAAAAACGAGAAACCAGCAGGAGATAGAACTCAGGGGAGTCGTGGGAAGAAACTGCTCCAGGAAGTAGAGCGTGGTCGAAGATGCTGAACGCATCCAAAAGGTTAAGTAAAATGAGGAATAAAACATATCCATTGAATCTGGCAGCTGAGACTTGTTAGTAAGCCGATTGAGTGCTAGGGGTGGGGGGACAGCAGACAGAGGGCTGAGGAAGCAGAGGGGGAAGAGCATGAGGGGGGAGGGTACGAGTTCGGCAGAAAGACTAGGAGAAAGTATGTCTTTGGCTGGTGGCGAGGGCCATACTGAAGTGATCTGCCACTTCGGGACATTTCCTGTCAATGGAATCGCATATGTGGCCTTTGGGTCTGGCTTCTCTCACTCAGCATCCTGTCCTCAAGGTCCATCCACATTGTAGCCACTGTCGGGGCCTTGTTCCTTTTCATGGCTGAGTAATATTCCACCGGACGGATGAACCACACTTTGTTTATCCATTCATCTGTTGATGGGCATAGGGGTCGTCTGCCTGCTCACTGCTCTATCCACTAGTGGCTGGTGCTCTGGGGGATGGCTGAATAAGTGAATGAACAGCAGGAACAGCGTGGTCCAGTGTCACGAAGGTGGCAAGGTACGAGCCCAGGATTGGAAGCCAGTGGTGCCTGTGTTCTGACCATGAGGCTCCACGACCCTGACAAGAGTCCTGAGGACCTCCTCTTTTTACAGATGACATTACTGCATCTTCCAAACAATGACGGCATACCCCAGTGGGGCCGTTCATCATGGGTGTCGGCAGAGCTAAGAAAAAGCAGTAAGGATGGTGAGTCACTTGGGGCCAGCAGCGGCAGGAAGCCCTTACGGCCCCTCGGCCTGAGGGCGGGTGGCGTGGTGCCCCGAAGCCCCGGCTGTGCGTTCGGGAGGAGAGGCGCCCGGAGAGCCCACATTCGCCCTCACAGTCCTCCTGCTCTCCGGTCTCCTGAACCGGGACCAGGAGGTGAAGGAGCCCCTGACGCAGCCCCCGGGGGTGAGAAACCATCATGGAGCCAAGACTGGAAAAGTGAAGATTGCCCTGGCCACTTATCACGCCAAAAGGGCAGAAATGGGTAAAGGCTGCTGCAAAGATATAAGGAGACAGTATCTCTCTGTGGCTGCGAAGCGATCGCGCCCCCTCTTTGCGTGAGTGACAGCTGCTTTCTCACTCACTGAGCAACCGCATCCTCTGCAGCCAGAGACTTGCGGAAACTTGGCTGCTCGAACTGGCGTCGGTAAGGATGAAGAAACCCACTCTTGCCTGGAGGAGAGAAGGTACGCAACGTGCACTCACACCCCCTGGGGCTCCTGACACACTCCACATCTCAGCTTTACTGCTACCAAGGAAACAGGGCCCCGGGTCCCCTTTAAAATCCAGGCCCGAAGCTCACCGTTGTGTATAAAACCTGCTTTGCTTTGAACCTGTCAAAACCTGCTTTCGCTTAAATTTCATCTAGCCCTGACTGGCGTGGCCCAGTGGGTTGAGCATTGTCCCGCAAACCCGAAGGCTGCAGGTTCACTTCCCAGTCAGGGCACGTGCCTGGGTTGCGGGTTTGGTTCCAGGTCAAGGTGCGTACAGGAGGCAGCCGATAGATGTGTCTCTTGCACATTGATGTTTCTCTCCTTCCCTTCCCCGCTCTCTAAAAATAAATAAATAAATAATTCTTTCAAATAAATAAGTTTATTTAAACTCCACCCCTCTCCTCCGGAATCCTGAGATAACTCTGCCCCTCTGTGAGGTGCTGCCCCACGGTTCCTCTGGCCCGAGGTCTCCCTCACTGAATGGGCCAAACCCCAGCTCTGTTGGATGGTGAGTTTGTCCCTGGTGGCCTCAGGCTGACTGGCCTGGGTCACGGGGGGACGTCCCGGGACACAGAGCATGATGGAGAGAGGTGGTGGAGGGCCATGCGGGGCAAAGGCAGCACAGAAATAATGCACCCCTGCCCCCTCCACACACGACAAGGCGGATTCCCCCTGCCGTCTGCAGGCAGGGGTGTTGTGAGGAAGTGAGGGGGAGAAAGACGACGGGGAGACCTTTCTTCACCCAGAGTTCACACACATCTGGGCTGAACAGAGGGCTGCAGACATGAATCAGTCAGTCTCTGAGCGGGGCTGGAGGCGACGGAAAGATGGAGGCTCTTGACTGAGGCACAATGGAAGCACTGGGGCTCCTGACATTTGAAGGGCTGCCTCTTCCCCCCAAAGGAAATGAGTCAAAGAGCAAAAGGAAAGGGAAAAAAGGCAGAATTCCAAAAACTCCCTTCCTCTGAACACCATCTTTGTGCCGGCATCTGGGGGAGGCCAGCTGGGGTGGGGTCATCTGCCAGGCCGGCCTGGAGGACTTGGCCCCTTGTTTATTCTCAACCACCACGGGACAGCTGCCAGGGCCCGCCCCAGCTCTGCTGTCATTGGAGGAACTGAAACTTTAAGGCTGCTGCTAAGGACCAGGACGGTTCATTTCCTCTCGCATGTGGGCCTGCTATGACCGGCAGGGGAAGGTTGAGCCGTGGTCCAGCTCCGAGCGCATAGCCATGCCTCTCGCCTTGCCAGTCTGCTACAAAGATGTTCTCCATTATAAGACAAACAGAATCATACGGATCCAGAGCGTGAACTATGGCACCATTAAGTGGATCCTCCACGCAATTGTCTTTTCCTATGCTAGGTAAGTGGGGTGTGGGGATGTCCCCCAAATCTCTGCAATGGTTGAGGGCACAGGTAATGCCAAGGTGCAGCTTCTGGTACATATCCTGAGTTCCGCATTGTTTTAAAGTCTGAGACGTGCGTCTGTCTCACAGCAAGCTGGCGGAGACGGTGGGGGCGGGGGGGGGGGCTGGTGAGGGAGGGGTAGGGCCTGGCAGGTGGCAGCAGGCAGGAGGAAGCAGTGCCAGTCTGCTTCAGAAAGCAGCGCTGGGAGGCGAGTGCGATGCTGGGTTCTATCCTGGGCCTGCCGGGGTGAAATGGGCGGGACGTGCCTGGGAGAGGTGGGGAAACACAAGGCAACACCCTGGATTCCCAGGGAGAAGGCAAGGAATTCCCTGCACCTGGTGATCATGCTGGCAACGATCTGAGTCATGAGTGCTCAGCGGCAGGAGCAGGACCAGACTTGTAAACGTGACTTCAGGTCCTCTTCAGTGTCAGGAAGGTTCTCGTGCTCCTCTCCTTTCCTTTTCCCTTTCCTTCCCTTTCCTTCCCTTCCCTTCCCTTTCTTTCTTTTTTTGACAGCTCATTAAGATAATTTGCGTACTATACAATTCACTCATTGAAAGGGTACAGTTTAGTGGTTTTAACCATATTCACGGAGTTGTGCGACCACCACCACAATTTCAGAATATTCCCTTCGCCTCAAAAAGAAACCCCGCATCCCTCCGCCGTCATGCCCAACCCTCCTATTCCTCCGAAGCCCCAGGCACCCACTGACCCATTTTCTGTCTCTGCGGGTTTGCTCATCCTGGACATTCCACAGAAACAGAACCATTCAGTGCGTGGTCCTTCATGACTGGCTTCCTCCACTCAGCACCGTGTTCTCAGGGCTCGTCCACGTTGGGGGCGCGTGTCAGTGCTTCACTCCGTTTCATGGCGGGGCAACACCCCGCTGTATGGATAGACCACTTCTTGGTGGACACGTGGGTTGTTCCCAGTGTGAGGCTATTGTGAGTAACACTGCTGTGAACATTCGTGTACAGGTTTCTTGCACGTTTTCAGTTTCGCTGGGTATGCAACTATATTTGACATTGGTGGGTCACTTGGTAAGTCAGCCTTTTGGGGAACCACCCAGCTGTTTTTCCCCAGCGGCTGCCCCATTTCACATCCCCACCAGCAGTGCAGCATGCGACACCTCCACGCTGCACCAGCGCTGTGACTCTCTGCCGTCTGAATCGTAGGCAGCCTAGTGAGATGCACGGTGGCATCTCCTTGTGGTTTTGGCTCACATTTTCCTAAGGGGCGATGCCCCCTTGCTCTTTGTGGAGATGGTGGCGATGGTAACTTGCACACAGACGAGGGCAGTGTCGTCAGTTAATCTCTCTGGGCCTCAGTTTCCGCATCCGTTCATAGAGTTGTTGTGACAGAGAAGGTGTACAAGCCCTTATCGGGGCCTGGCCTAGGGTGGGAGCGCCAGAAAGGGTGGCTGTTTTCGAAATGAATCTTTCTGAGTATCACAGGTACTTCCACAGGCAGCGAGCGCATCCTCTGCTCTGACTGTCAGAGTAAACACGCCTCCCCGTGGGATCTGAGATCTGTAATCGTGGATTCAGAAATCCTCCACCTCTCTGAGTTTCCTTATCTCTAAAACGGGGATGGTGGTGGTTTGTGAGAATGAAATGAGTTAATAATTGCAAAGCTGCTAGGGAAACACCTGGCCTACGGCCAGCTCTGACCAGGTGTTCATTCTTCTTCTTAACATTAATGATTAGGATCATCATGGTTGTGATTCCTCTGTTTACTATGCGACAAATACTGAATAAAAAAAACACACGTTAGAATTCTAAAATGAGACACGTGAGTTTGGCCAGATATCACACAGAGCTGATGGTAAGAAGCGTAGTTATGCGCCAACACACAGATCATATGTCACGATTCCAGGTAACAGGTGCTGTGACTGACTTCCTGGTATTGCCGGGCGAGCCACGGTGCACGGGAGCGCGGAGAGATCACGCAGTTGCACCAGCACAGCGACTCGGTGACGGGCGCCGCGGCGCAGGGCTGCGATGGGGTGCTCGAGTTGGGGTGCGCTCCCTCAGCGCGTCTCTGCTCCCACGTGCTTCTCGTAGAGGGAGCATGTTGCCGCCCTGCCTGTAAATCTAGATACATGTTTTCCGCCCGACATGTCCCCTAAGATAAGCCAGCGCCTTTGCGTTCACCCGGAGCAAAACTGGAAAAACAGCAACTTGTGCCAGAGCCGGAGGGGGCCCTGGGTCCGCTGGGCTCGCCGCCGGCAGGAGGAAGGTCCGCTGGCTGCGTGCTGGGCGCCGTCCAGGGGCTGAGTAAAGGCAACTCAGACGAGACACAACTCTTTCCCTTAAGTGCTGAGTGTGGAAGACAACCCCGTGTAAAATGCTTCTGCATTGTTTCTATTTTAAAATATAAAATGGAAGAACAAATGCTGCCGGCTTTGTGCTTGCCCTCGGGGTTGACGGAAGATTTACAGCTCACGGGACGGTGCCCCACAGAACAACACAGCTTGGGAAATGCTGCCTGAAGTTGTACTGCGAGGCTCAACCTGATACAACTGCAGGTTGGCCATCTGTGAAATGGGTAGATTCATGGTGCGCAGGGATTGGAGGATGCTTTGTGCATCAGTTAGGACTGGTGTGGACCACAGATGGGAGTCCAGACGGGCCCTGGCAAAACCCAGGATATATAGGAGGAGACGGTGGGGTCTGGCCTGGGGCTCTGGGTCCAGGGGCTTGCCCAAGCTAGGGCTGACAAGGCAAAGAGCCAAGATAATTCAGTAAGACAGGGCATCAGTTATTGATACTGGGGTGTGACGCAGGGGCTCGCAATACAGGAAGTAAGACAAGGGGCTGGGCAGCTTCTCATAGTCGCTCACAGCCAAGCTCTGGTCTGGAGTCAAAGGCAGTGGCTCCGGCTTCCAGGGTTGCAACAGGGTGTGGACAGGATGCAGAGGTTAGGGTTAGGGTTAGTCATGTCGTTTGGCTATGTAACAGAAACCTAACTCAAGTTAGCCACCATGCCACAAAGGAGGATTTACTGTCATGTAATCAGGCAGCATAAGAGATGAAACTGTCCTCTGATGTAGACAGTTATAAAAGTTCAAAGTGTGTTATCAGGGCTGGGTCACTCTCCCCAAATCTTGGTTCTATTTGGTCTTCTTGCATAGGCTATCTATGTAGGAAAATGGCACACTCATAACCTCACATCTTCTTCTTCTGGCAACAACCCCAGAGGCACAAACAAGTGTTTTCTGATAGCTCTGCCAAGAAAGTCCCAGGAAAGACTCTGATTGGTTGAGTCTGAGTTCCATATTCATCTCTCAACCCAATCATTGTGGCTAGGGGCATGGAGTCACCAGATTGGCCAGTCCGGGGTCATGTGCTCACTTTTGTGGCAGAAAGCAGGCAGAGGGTAACAGAGCTGATTCAGCTCTGACCTGAGCCTGACCTGAACCACAGTCAGTGGCTTTTCCTTAAGAAAAAAAAGAATGATGTTGCCAGAAGAAATGGGAAAAGAAAGGGGTGGGTTGGGGGAGGGAGTGGGGAAGAGACAGTCAAAACCCAAACTCCTTACAAGATCTCAGTAGGTAATCATGATCTCGACAGTATAGTTATGGGCTCCACTTCTCAGTTATGTGTCACAGCTTGGTTTCCCAGCCTCTCTCGCAGCTAGGTGACAGGCGTGAGACCGAAGCCCAAAGTTTTCGAACATAAGCACCGCGCAATACTTCAGCACACAGGGAATAACAGGAGGTGGTGGGTGTGAGCAGAATTCATCTTTAGGAGTTTACGGGGGCGGTGCCAGCCTTGACCTACACAACGGGGAGCACTTCCCTGGACCTGTGCTTTAGACACCCCTCTGAGGCCCTCGGCTGGCTGTTGGCTGCAAGCTTCCCCATAGAGTAAGAAGTCTGTGGGGGCAGTGTGAGTCTTCTGCTGCTGCTTAATGAATCACCACAAGCGCAGGGGTGTACATCGCTGTCCACTCGGTAGCTCACAGTTCTGGAGGTGAGCGGCCTGGGCGTGGCGTGGCTGGGGCCTCGGCTCAGAGACTCACGAGGCTGAAATGAAATGTGAGCTGGGCCGAGCTCTCGCTCTGGGACTCCGGAGGAAAAAGTCTGTTTAGGTATTTTTTTTCCATAAAATAAAAGACATATTTTTCATTTTTCCCAAGAACTTCATTGATTTGGATATTTTCAGTATGTCGGCCATCTCCCGTGTGGTATAGCTTTGTTCTCAGTTAATATCTCAGTTTGATCACTATCAACTTCAGCTGGTCTACTCGACTACGGCGCATCGTCCAGCGAGGACTCTCCAGCGTGAAACTTCACGAACCACTTTTTTTTTTAAATAAGTTTTTTGTTTTTTGTTTTTTTTTTTAAGATTTTTATTTATTTATTTTTAGAGAGGGAAGGGAGGGAGGGAGAGAGAGAGAGAGAGAGAGAGAGAGAGAGAGAGAGAGAGATCAATGTGCGGTTGCTGGGGGTTATGGCCTGCAACCCAGGAATGTACCCTGGCTGGGAATCGAACCTGGGACACTTTAGTTCCCAACCCGTGCTCAATCCACTGAGCTACGCCAGCCAGGGCCACGAACCACTTTTGACACAGCCAATCAGTCACAGCACCTTCTCCATGCACTGTACAAATCTTTTCTTTTTTTTGCATTTCAGTTGCATTTTTACCTTTCTTGAAGTAATAAAGCATAATATGCTGAAAACGTTGCATATTTGCTTCCATCTTCAGTATTAAAATGGCTACACAAAAATTCACCAATTTTGATAAGCTCTTTTTACACACATGCCAATACGACAGCCGTCCCAATACCATCGAACAAAATGGTTTCGAATGAAGTTAAAGGCGACTAGGCGCTACTAGAGCCATCAGAAGGAAAAAACAAACTTTTTGGCCAACCCAACGCTTCCAAGGTCATCCTCATTGGTAACATTCCATTCCTTGCGATTGTAGGACCGAGAGCTCAGTTTGCTTGCTG